ACAAAATACCAAAGTCCAGCTGCTGCTTCCTACTCAGGATGCCCCTAGATCAGCTCTTGCCAAACACAGAGTGGCTAAGCAGGTGGAATGACCACTGTCTACCTACTCTATTTCTAAGTCTTTTCTTCCACATATTCATTTCTGGTCATTGCTGGAGATTGGACCTGGATATGTGGACCTGTGATATGATTCACTGCATCCATGAGTACTACAGAGTACTTACACATATATTGCATGTTTGCCATTTTTCATACTGCATATACAATGATGCACACTCATATGATGTGCATCTTTATATGTTACCAAATATATTAAAATATAAAAATATATACCGCTGTAGATTTATCTAATTATTTTTCCTACTAAAAGTGTTAGTCTTGTGATTTACAAAGAAAAATTACTGCAGCATGAATTAATTTATGTTTAAGGAAGAGATGGGATATGTGAATTGAAATATTTATAGACAGCCTGAAAGAGGCTCAAGACCTGTCCAACCAGGGTGAAACTTGCAGACAGAAGCTGTAATCAAAAGCTAGTCAAGCACACATTGTGGAGGTAGATTAAGTGGTGACATTGTGAAGGAATTATCTTTGAAGAGTGGACCTCTGCTAAACTGGACATAGGTTGACAGCAACACTCAGAGGCTTTTAGGCACAGTGGTTGTCTATTTTCTACCCTGGCATTTAGTTCCTGAAACTGCAGAGGCAGCGAACTGATGAAATATGAAGTCAGTATAGATGTGGTTATGTAGAGTCATTACACAGTCCCCTTCTGAATGATGGAGTAGCATTACAGGATTGTATGCACTTCTGCACTATGACTTGGAGAATTAGGTAGTAACAAGTCAATCTGTAGATCATATGTATTTCCAAAGAAGGGCAACAAAGCTGGTGAAGGGTCTGGAGCACAAGTCTTGTGAGGAGCAGCTGAGGGAACTGCAGTTGTTTAACCTGGAGAAATGGAGGCTGAGGGGAGACCTTATTGCTCTCTACAACTACCGTAAAGAAGGTTGTAGTGAGGTGGGTGTCAGTCTCTTCTCCCAAGCAACAAGCAATAGGAAAAGAGGAAATGGCCTCAAGTTGCACCAAGGAAGGTTTAGATTGGGTGTTAGGAAAAATGTTTCTTCTGCAAGGGTTGTCAAGCAAGGCTGAACAGGCTACCCAAAGAAGTGGTTGAGTCACCATCCCTGGAGGTATTCAAAAGATGTGCAAATGTGGCACTTAAGGACATGCTTTAGTAGTAGACTTGGCAGTGCTAGGTTAACGGTTGGACTTGATGATCTTAAAGGTTTTTTTCAACCTAAGCAATTCTATGATTCTATGACTTTTCTTTATTAGTGTGCCAGGCTTCTGGCCAGTAAGCCAAGTCAAGAAATGAGCAGTCGGGCCTGGATTTACAAGGAAGCAACTGTTCTGAGAACTCTTCACAGATGCTGATGAAAGAAAAAAAACAAAAACTGGATTAAGACCAAGGTTTGAACAGACTGTCCCCGTCAACAACAAGACTCTTAGCCATCAGTGGGAATTAGTCAGCCTTTACTCCCAGAAGCAGCCAGTTTTAGGCTTATGCTGGGTTAGTAGCTGCAGATATTACTTTAGCAGAACATTTTTCTCCTCCATTATTTTTGTCTTCTTGTCCATCTAAGAGTCACTGATCTTTGTGAAACTATGAGCTACTTATAAAAAAAAAAATCAATTTATCCCAAAGTCACAAGACACTTGCCACATGCCTCTGTGAGCCAAGGTAAGCTCCAAGAGTGCCTCAGAGATGAGAGAGAACAATAAACTCAAGGGCTCTCACCAGTCTGTTATGGGATGGGGTCCAAGAGAGCATGCAGCTGTGATACATGGAGCTTTGGCAGTATCAGCCTTAGCAACTACCACTGTCTCATTTCCTCTGACACCGGGGGATCCAAATTAACTAGAAGCCTCTCACTAACATGGACTTGCTGCTGGTCAACTGAGACAGGCTTGGCTTGGGACCCCCACCTGCACTTTCCAAGATTACAAGTCCTATAGCTGTGTGACTTCTATCCCACGACAGTTCCACTGTAAGGATTCCAATGGCAAAACTACAGCAGGCATCCTAAAATTAATACAATGCAGCCATCATTGTATTGTTAGGTTGGGATTGGCATGTTAAATGTTGGCAAATACGATTTAAGGGGTCACTCATTCCAATCCCCTTTGCTCCAATTCCACTTTTTTTATTGATGGTATGTAATTCGTATCCGTGAAATGATCCATCTTAAAGTTCTACTAAACAAATGAACAAAAAAATCAAGCCCAACTCTCTGTTTTTCTTTAAGTACTTTGTTCCGAGATGGTAAATAGCCTTAAAATAACAGACCTGGTAAAACCTGGAGTATGCTGCTTTCTTCCACATGAAGAGATTGGTCATGGTGTTCTTTAAGACCATAAATGTAATTTATAGTTACAGCCTATACCCCACCTCTATTACATGTTGCCTGTTTCAGCTCAGACCCTTGTCTGGGACAAGGGCTCTCCCTGATTTCGTGTTTGTAGAGGAGAACTTACCCCACACACAGATATTTTTCTTAGTAGCTAATCTCTAGACACGATCCCAAAGAGCATGATAGAATATTAGCTAAAGCTGAGCCAGAGATCTATATTTGGACTGAATGCAGTTTATAACAAAGAGTTCTTTTGAAAAGTTACGGTCAATGCCTCCTCTTCTCAGCTGATTACATTACCACAGCCATACACACTGCATCTCCTCCGGTTTCCATGTAGTGGCAGCTGTTTATACATTCATTGCAAATTTGGCTTCCTGTATTTTGATTTTGCAATGTCATGAGTCCTACTGCAATCCCTTGCACCATGTTCCCCTTAGAAAGTCTGCTAGAAAAAGAGTAGTTCCCTAACATCTTATTAGGCTTTGCAGGCAACAGTACATTACAAACTTTCATTGATTATATGTAGCTAAGAAAAGCCATATCATCATGGCAGGCATTTAAAAAGAATGTCAGCAAATTCCATATTAAAATCATTCACGACTTTTAGATTATTTTTGAAAGTAGGGTTTCAGTCTGTAGCTCATTTCAATGATAAAGTTTTGTTAGCTGTGTCCTGCTATAAGACTCCATCTCAGCTTACAGGCAGCATGATATGAACACGATAAATACAAGCTGAAATCATCTTGTGCTGAAGTGTGATCATTAAGGCATAGCTGTTCTTCATGTGTGTCCAGGACAGTTCAAGGGCTCGCAAGAGAGGAAGAAATGATCTGACATCTGCACTTGTGAAGGCAGCATACTACAGTATGAGAAATACTTGTATGGTTTCAATGTATGTTACTATTTACATATAGCATGTTAAGCAGGACACGAGTAAACTAGAAATGTATTGATCTTGCTTTGCTTTATTTATTTCTTGCTTAACTCATGCTGTCTATGTCAGTGTAACAAAGTTGTCAGAGGGTAGAAAGAAACTCCTTGTGCAGATGTTAACAATTCTAAACAGTAAAAGCCTAATTCTCCATTTTACACTCAGTTTCATGACCTTACAGACCACATCAGAACCAGTACTCGTGGGTTTTCTGCAGTAGAGGATAAGAGAGAGCAAAGAAAATTGGTGAGCTAATTTTAAGTCAGAAAGTGATAAATTCTGGGAAAAATCTTGAGAGATAACAGGGTAAGACCTGTACTGAAGAACCAATGTATACAACCTGTCACAGGACACTGTACTTAAATGTTCACTCACTGTTCCTACTGAAAATACATCAGCTGCAACAAGCCTCAAACAAACCCTTGCACCTCATGTAGCCTGTCTGATGGACCAGGAGCTACACATATAGGTGAGAAGTTCTAGACTTGTTCTTTCCATAAGCTATGGAGCCACTGTTGAGCTGATCCAAATGAGTATATTGGGGTTCTATAGGACAATCTTCTCAGAAGGTTTCAAAAAGTTCTAAGGAGATCAATACCATTATTCTTCTCTTACAGCTAGGGAAAATGAGGCATAAAAAAAGAGAAATTACTACTCCAAGATCACTTGGCAGACTGATGCCAAAGACCAGAATGAGATGCAGGTTTCATGTGCTCTAGTCCGAAGCACTACCAAACTCACATCTTTCCATCCGGTATGAAACTATTCCAGTCCAGTCATGATAGTTAAGTGTGGTGGTCCCTAATATACTTGTATACATTTCCTGTAGATAAAGCATAAGAGGCGCCATGTGGGTGGAATATCCTAATGCCATCACCTCCTGTGATCACGATCTGCCTGTTATCTGCTTTTTGCAAATCTTCCAGCAGAGAGCCCAGAGAGCAGTTTCCTACACTGAGGAAGCACCAGTTGTGTGGTCTACTAAAGCCCTGCTGCAGTGGCACCACTTTTGAACTGTTGCCAAATATCATCTCCCCACTTAATCTGTGCTGGTTCCTACTGGCTCAGTTTTGTGAACTGACATAGCCCTGAAATAGTTAATGACATGACTTCTCAGCATTACAGTAGGAGACTATGGCATACAGATTAAACAGAACCTCTTTGCAGCGGTGTCCTGAAGCTATTCAAATGGTATTCAGAACTCACAATTTTGGCAAATTCCTAAACATATACATTCTCAAAAGCTGAGGCCCCACTATGGCTCTGCATCTTCTTCCAACTATATGAAAACACAATCTTATTTCTTCACATTATTTCCTGTTAGGAATCTCTTCCTGTTCCCAACACATAAGAAACATACGACTAATTATACTAATTTTTGTTTCAGCTACTCCTTAATACAGAAGCACTTTCTATGATCCAGACTGTTGGATTTTAGAGATCAGTACAATCTAAAGCTACTTCTGGTAAAAGAATTTCCACCAGAATGAAAAAATATTTGAGCAATATTAGAACAGAAAAAAATTAGGAACCATCAATGACTACACTGATGACATCTTATTGATTCAGACAGCTAATGTGCTGATAAGAAACTTACAAGCACAACTTTACTTATGTTATAGCAAGCAATTTCAAGTAATAAATCCAACTTACCTGCGAAGAGCTTCTGTGGTAAGCTGAGTAGTGAAGTGGTCCAGAAATATCATGTGGTAAGGATGGATACTGACTCTGCATTGGATGGGGCTGCTGGTTGCTGTAGCTACCATAGTTGTAACTTCCTGTGTATCTAAAGTCAATTTAAAAACACTCTTTAGTATGCATTATAATGATATTGCCACTAATCATCCTATAACTTTTGAGACATACAGTTGCATGTTTTTTGCATAGAAAAATTATATTTTAAATAACCTTTTAGAAAAATATATTTCTCAGCTCAGCTGGGGAGCAGATGTCACTTAGTGAAACATGTTCAGCACAACAACAAATAGAAAAGGCTCAGCATATTTCTCTGACTAGTTTTAAATTGCAGACTCATTTGTGCACTTCCTAAGGAGAAAGTCTTTCCCTTTTGTTATTATTTTATTGCCATGTTTCTAGTAAATTGCTATCCAGGCTAAGTATGGTAAGATTTAACTTAAAGAACTACACCATGGAGCTCAGCTATCTCCTTGCACTGAGGTCAGATGTTCCTTTTTTTGGAAGGGAGGGAAATGTATTAATTTGCATCTGAAGCATACAACGTACTGCTTTAGCTCAGCTGGCTCAAGAATAAAGTATGATTTTAGGTTGGAGAACCTGCTTTCTTTCTTTCTTTTTATCCCAACCCCTTGCCTAGGAGACAACCAGGGTTAAGGGAGGGAGCAGGTTCCTTAGCTATAGGAAACTGCAGGGTCAGTGTTTGTTTGCCACCATTATTTGGGCCATTCTCTAGCAGAAGATGCATGGATACTTTCCACAGCCTCCCCATCTTTGTGTAGCTATGTGAGTATTTGATGCTAATTCAGCACAGAAGTTTAAAGGCTCTTAAAATATATGCTATTGAAATGAAACACAAACCATGATAAATAAACAAACAGGGTCACCAATTCATTGTGAGAAAGGGAAGACAGTTAATTGTACAGAATTTTTCTGAAAAGTTCAATGTAGTTTTTACACTGGGTGGAGTTTAAACTTCTACTGTTCTTTTGATTTTGTGATGATATGCTAGAAACACCATGTCATGTCTTATACCAGCCAAACCAGCAGCTTCAAAATGAGAGCAGCAAATTTGCTGAGGCACACTCTGTCCCATCGTCCAGGTCACTGATGAATATATTGAAGAGAGCTGGACCTAGTACCAGCCCCTGAGGAACACCACTAGACATGGGCCTCCAACTAGACTCTACCCACTGACCTCTCAGAACTCTCTGAGTTCTGCAAAGACCCTATGTCCATCTTGATTATTCAACACTGAGCTCTCATTCTTACATTCCCTTGTGCTTAGCTGTAAATATGAGTGGTTTCCATAATCTATCTCAGACAAGCTGGTGTTCATGCAATGCAAGTTTGATAGTCTCTCTGTGGAGAGTAGGAGCGAGAGGAATGGCTATAACATGGAGCTATTTCACACTGTGGTAGGCAGGCACTTGGTGTTTTAATTCCTTCAGCATGATAGACTGGTAAGCAAGATCTCCAAGATCTGCATAAGCTTGGCATTTCACAGTGAAACCTTCTCTGAAGAAGATGCTTGCCTATCTAGTCCCTCTTGTAGCCTGGGGTGCCCTTGGACTCCCAGACAAAGCCAAGTCCTGTAAGGCAGTGTTTGCACTTCATGCTTTCTCTAGTCACTAAGGATGCTATGCCCTAGTCTGGACAGTATTGATCTTGTCTCTTTCTTTTAAAAATGAGGAACAGATCATGTAGCCCTTTCTTCACTCCTGATAACATGCATTTGGACTTAATAAATTTTTATTTTACAGGGAGTGGTTTTTATCATTGAACTTACATTTTATTTTCTATAACTGAAGCACAAATAAAGTATTTGTACAAATCAACCCAACAGCCTATATTTCAGTCTGTAAGTCTATATCTAATTATCTCTTGGGAACTACTAGGGCTTTATGTGGTTCCAAGGCTTTGATTCTTTAATGTTTTTACATTGTGGAGTACTGTTGTATAAAGCGCTCTGATCTTTTAAGTATTCCCTTTCTACCTCAAGATGGTTTGGAGCCTCTATATAAAAACCCAGTCACTAGGAAGTGGCTTACCCATGTTCTTCTCTGTGGGGGTAAACAGGTATCCGGTGTGTGACAGATGATGATGGTACATGTGGACTTCTCATGCATGACAGCTGTTGGGAGTTTTCCGCAGGTGACCCAGCAGCTGTTGTCACAGTGTAGGTGAGTGACCACGTATAGGATTGCATAGCTCCTGCAGACAAAGAAGCATTAAAGGAATACAGCTAACATAGGCTGTTGTTCATAGAGGTGTTATGCTTTGAGATGGTAACAGGAAAGCAACCTGATAGGCACTGATAATGGAAACAGCATCAACCAAAGTGAACAAAACAATTATACCTGAAGCATAAATACAAATAGATCAGCTGGAGCGTGCAAAGATCCAAATGTAAGAGGCATATCTGGAATAGCTCAGGCTGTGAGCTTTCAGTGTGGTATTGTAATATGAGGCAATCACTTTTCAGAAATACTGTGAGGAACTCCAATGCTAGTATTTCTCAGTCATGACGCACCAGACCCTGAGGTCTCTCTCACATGGAGCGAGCTGCTGGCCTGTTTAGCTCTGAGGCTGATCAGGCCTGGAGTGAGGCAGGAAGTATGACCAGAACAATGAAGGATTAGAAAAAGATGGGTGTTACGCAAATACATTTCTTGAATCCTTTTGCAATTTGTACCTGTTCCACACAACTAGGTACTAGCCTTTGTAGTGGCAACATGGTGGTAGATCTCCAAGCTATAACAAACATATAGACAGAAATAGCCTAGCTGTTTTCTTCCCACAAATAACTTTTTTTTCTTCATTCAAGGCAGCAGGGACTGGACTTAATTTATTTTTTCATGTAGAGCATTTGTGGGAAGAGCAAAGCAAAGAAGTGGGTTTTCCATTTTGCTTGGAAGGTGCTGAGTTTTTTAATCATCCTGATCCCTTCCAGGCAGGAACTCCAGCTTCATGAGCCAGCTGCTGAGAAACCTTTGTCCTCTGCACACACCCCTTTCACTCAGGAGGCTGACAGATCCATTGTTCCTCTATAACATAGCTCTTGCTGGAGGTCATGACCATACTGGCTGAGATTACCCTCCAAATGAGGACCAGAACACTGAATTTAACCCAATGAGAACACTAGTTTGGGGGTCTCTGGGCACTCTTGACTCTTTTTCACTCGCTAAAAAGAATTGCAGGAGGTGACTAGTTTTTTTTCAGTGTGGATTCTAGGACTTCCTGTAGTATGAAAGGGCCTAATTCAGAGGGGGGAAGTGATTGTATTACCAGGTCTGCGTCCACTCCATGGCTTTGGGGAATGAAAAGCCTATCTCAGATGTGCATAATTTTCTTCAGGTGTGGGTGATTTTATTTGGCAAAATCAGACAAATAATTTTTTTCAATAGGAAATGCTTAGTTCTGGGACTGAACAAAGGCATTCCAAGCTTCACAAGGTAAGTCCAGCTTGAAATACTCCAGCAGCACTGGTGTATAAGAGCACATGGTGCTCTTATAGTAGATACATCCTTTGCATGTGTTACGGCCAAGAATATTTGTGCTAGGTCTGTTTTCTGTCACTGACTTTTGAGTTTTCAGTCTTTCATCTCCTCCCATTGCAGAGGACCATTGAGACCCCTGATACCAAAGAGAAGCCAGCACATCAGTGTTGCTATGGATGTAAGCACTTATAGATCCTTGAGTTGAGGAAAACATTTAAGGAAGCCTACCTTTGCTAGAAAGTACAATTTATATGGAAGGGGACAAAACTACTTATGCAGTCACTTCATTTCTTGTAGTGAAAACAAGAGAAAAACTGCTTTGAAAATATCAGCAACCTCTCAGCAGAATATTTTGGTGAAACATTTCAATTTCAAAAGGTCAACTTATTTTCCCAGTCCTACTTTCCAAAAGAAAATTTGAAATCTTTTTTCAAAACAGGCCTAAATTCAAAAGGCAAAAACAAAGAGAAAAGAAAGAAAAGAAAGACAACAAAGATGGTGAAAAAACCCAAATACTTATTTTTATGTAATATTACTGGGTTTGGGGTATTTTTTAACTTTTTAAATTTGTAAAACCTCTTTTTCAGAAGTTTTACTTTGACCTGATTTTATTTCTTCCAAGAAAAAAATTGGTCATTGAGTCAAAAATCTCATCATCTTCCTAGCTCTAACAAGAAGTGAAAATAACAGGGCCAAAAGATCCTTTGCATTTTACCAAATATGATTAATTTGACAGGCTCCAGTCATTGTGCCAGCCTCCTTTTCTTTTTTTTTTGAAAAACAGTGGAGACCTTATCTCAGCCTGAGGCAGACCAGGACAGCAAGTTATTTCATGTGCTCCCTGTGGGAAGTCAGACTCCCTGAATGTCAGACTTGGCCACTCCTGGCATTCAAGTCTAACTGACAGTCACCTCAGTTCAATTTTAAAATAAACGTTTAGGACATAACATGTTTTGTGCCTGTCCAAACAACACAGAAGCAAATACACAGAATAGGTCTTGCAGTGGAAGAGTTGTGAATATCTTTGTTTAATTCTCCTAACCAAGAAATGTCCCCAGTACTACAGGATGGTATCTCACACAGCTGCTCTGTGAGATTTTAGAAACAAATGCATCTTGGGCCTTACTCTGGATTTACAGAATGACAGAAAGCAGTGAAAATAATTTTTTCAGGATGTTCTTGGGAATCTACAGTTGCTTCACTTCTCTTTGCCTTTGTGGAAGGGATGCCCTTATTTTCAGTGACCGTGTCACAACGACAGGTTGGAGGGATAGAAAACTGCAACAGATTTGCGGACTGTGTATCTATTGGGTCAGCCAGGATACTGCCAACATTATGGTGGGTGGAAAAGGAGGAATAAGATAATTCTGAAAGCTTTTCATGGTTAGCTTTTTAATACCTGCCTATATCCCAGCCCTATATGATGAATTTTCTCAGCTGGCTGCAGAATTGAACTCCAGGAGATGAAGTCTCTTTTAGATATGACTGAATCCAGCTGAACTGCTTTCTGAAATAAGCAAAAACAATAGTGATTGAGCAACATTTTGCTTTGCTTTGTGTTCTGAACTTGAGGGGTTTGATTAAAATAGGGAATTTCATTTACTCTAACTCCTTTTTCTTCTTATTTTTAATGAAAAACTTGGGTTTGAGGATACTAACCAAGAGGTCATCTGACTTGTGGGAGAGCCAAGTGTAAATGCAAGTGCTATCAGTCCAACGAGAACCTTGTTGTCATTGGTGCCATCATGTACACCAGTGCAGAAAGAAACAAAAGTTGCTTCAGGATGCTGCATTTTATATTTGTTATATGCTGGAGCAAATGACCACCCAGGTACAAGCAAGACACTCACAGCACTGTGTATTGTATGTGATAGTAAACAGAGCAGTACTGTCAACCTCAAGAAATCAGAAATTTGGAGTCATACCTCCATTCTGCCCACGCATAACAAAGAGATTGCCTTAAGTATCAGCTTTAGAAAAACCCCAAACCCTTCCATTTAGAAGGGGAGAATTGCCTTTCGAAATTGCAACCTTTGAGTTTTACACTTTGCAGGTATGAGAACTAAATTCTGATTGTTAAACAAGAGCTGATGTTCTCATATATTAATACAAGTCCAGAAGCTGAAGCTTTTGGAAAAAAGCAGAAATTTGTTCTACTCACACACACAAATATGAGAAGTGTGCAAGAGTGTTGTACTCTGTGCAAGTATCTCCTGAGCCAGATTCCCAGAACTTTAATGCCTAGTCTAGACTTGGAAAAACAGTGACCTTTAATGACCATTGCTGACCTGAAGACTTATTTCACACATACATTCCTTGAAACTAAACAGTGAACTGCATAGATTAGTTTACCAACATATTATGAACTACTTACAATTCAGAGTTCATTTCAAGTTGTCTAAAAACCATTGCATTGGCAAATGAGTAATCACAGCTTTAAGAGAGACTTAAAGAGAGAATAGCATAGTCAGCCATATAGCTATCACTTTTATTACAATATTGTTGCAGTTTGAACAATCATTAATCTGGCCTTTGTGGTTTAGAAAGGATGGAGACTAATTATCCTTTTAAATGTCTAGTAACTTAACAAAAAGTTTTAAATAAAATGTTAGCTGAGCCACACCAGATGTCCTACCACAGAATGCCATATAGGATTTACCTTACTTTTGCTCTGTATCATGTAACTGCAACAGCTTAATTCACTAGTTTTGTACTGATCACTGACTGATGGGGAAAAGGTTAAAATGCAAGTTTAATAGTTAACTTTTATTGCTAATGCCACAAGCAAGAAAGAGTTAACGATGCCTTAAATTGGGGAACTGAGAGCTAGTAGTAACCAATGGAACTAGTTCTCAAGATTTGCAAAGCATTTGCAGTTTTACATTGACCTCATAAACGACACATAAGAAAATCAATAGAATCTACTCTAAATGTATCTCTCCAGAACAGAGGTTCCTGTTCCAAAATATTCTATATATTAGTGCCACAAATCTGTATGTGGAATAGTGTGATTGTATGTAATACGTCTTCAACACTCCTATTTTAAAGTATAGCAACTTTTACTATAATTGAAACATGGTTGTAATTTTGTATTACTTTATGTGAATAAACTCTGCATTCCATGGTGTAATGGTTAGCAAACTAAAAAGGTGATCAGCTCATCTACATGATGAACATGGGAAATGGAGGTATTACTAATTGCCCAAACTAAGACCAGGAAATAGCTACACACTTGTACCTAATCTTAACCAGACCACTACTTTCATTGACAAATTTGGCTTGGGCTAGGCAAAAATTATTTTCACACTTGCAGAAGTGAGACTACACCAGACCGCAAGAATAAAATCCAATTCAACCAAACAAAATTTTAAAAAATAACCTAGAAATGAAAAGCTGGAAAAAACAGAGAGCTAAAATAATCTGAAATAGCTTTCTTGCCTAAGAAGTTCTGCTATGGGAACAACTATGTCAAGTACTACTGCTTGTACTGTGGGAGTAGGTCCTTCAACCATTGCTCCCACATGATCCTGTTTCTGGCTTGAGAACTCACGCTAGCAGACATTGGCCTTATCAGGACATAAAAAAATAGAGGGATAGAATAAAACAGACTATAATAAAATAATAAACAACATGAAAACAAGAAGGAATTGCATTTGTAATGTTTGTGTGAGCCCATTCCCTTGCATTGCTGGGATTCAGGAGGGACACATAAGATCCATGCAGTTCCCAGGCCTACCCAGATCTGTACCTAAGTCAGCTACCTCAGTCAAGTAAGCTGAAGGTGGAAGCTTAGATAGCCAACAGATAGGCTATTATTTAAATATAGAATAAGCTTTGAGTTAATAGGAATGATAGTCATATAGAGTTAGTCTCTGCAGCCTAAACACAAGTCCCTCAAATCTCCATTACTGTCAATGCCACTGGAGAACACACAGTTTCCTGCTTTTCAGTATTTTACCTCTGGGTACAGTTCTGCACCATACTAAGTTCCGGCTAGAACATCACAATGATCCCATTGGATCACGATGTCTACAGAGCAAGTTACCCACAAAATCAACATTTCAAGACTCTAAACATATACACCCCCTCCAGTGCTGCCTGGTTCAAAGCAGTGTGCTCACATGCCATGTCTAGGAACCATGTCTCTTGTCTAACTGTTCTGGGGATAATACCATCTTATTTTCCTCCTAAATATGGTGCTGTCTCCAACAGTTTCAATGTAGGGACAAATGTTCTTAAATCTCTTCCCACCACAACTGTGCATTGTGCTTCCCTGTGGCGCCTTTGAAAACATGAAAAACATTTGTCAGAAAGATTTATTAGTCCTTTAGCCACTGCCAAATTCTCCAGTGTGGTAAATCATCACTTCCTGACATTCTTTCAAGAAGGTTTTGTAACTTTTCTAGTACATCACAAAAGTTATATTTTCCACATTCTGATTATACACCCATTTCACTGAGGAGCAGCAAAGCTGGAATTTCACTGCCTGGAACACCTTCTGAAAGTCATTCACACTTCTGTGTTTTTTTTCCATGAGTTAAGAAAACAGTGTCTTTTAATCATACAGACAGACTGTCCTGTCCACATCCAAAAGGTAATGAGTGAGTTTTGCATTAGAATACAGAGGATGGTTGCCCAATTATACAGGCCAGACAAGAAGCCAGTTTTATGCTTATTGTTTTCTGATAATCTTGCCCACAAATTGAATACCTTTAAGCACATATTTTAAATCTGTGGACCCACCAGAATACAGCAACTTCATGAGCTGCCATAGCAGAGTATGCAACTGAAAGTAGACTTCAGACATGTAGTTCCTAGTCTTTAACACTGAAAGATGAAAGTTATCAATGATGTGTAAAACATACCCAAGAGAAACTTGCACAGCTATTTAAGCACATTTGGGTCTCAAATATGTTTAAAGTTATACAGTTCCCATTTTACCCACTAGAAATTTAAAGGTTCAGAAATTTGAAAACTTCACTAAACCTTAAAATATCTGGCATATTTCCTTGAAGTATATAAAATGTTTCAGAGAGACTGATTTGGCTTTAAGTCATTGAAGATGCTCAAAAGTGCTATGTTCATAAATAATTCTTTTGGGGCATTGCTAGAAACATGAAAAATTGGACTGATTTTTAAAACTATTTAGAAATAGTGACAAGTCTGCTCTTCTGAAGGCCTCAGCTACTGAACAGATTCTGATATGTTGTGGTCTGAGATCTCCTGTTAGGCCTTTGTACTCCAAAAAACAATTTTTTTTACTGTTAGACTGGACATCAAGTTTGGATACAGCAAGAAGGTATAACTGCTAAATTGATTTCTGTTTGGGAAGGCTTCTCATCTCTTGAGAGCCAGCGTGTCATGTTCTTGGGCTCAATTTCAGGTGACCAAGTGCAAAAGCCATCTCTGAGCAGATCCAGCTGCCATAAGCCTACCCACCTGTTGTAGCTGCTATGCCACTGTACTCTGGGGACTGATTGCTGATGGGCGAGGGGGCAGAGGGCACTTCCACTGAGGTGGAAGATTTAACTGGGGAGAACGGCACTGGAGAGGGAGTTGGAGGAGCCGGTTCACTCAGAAGAATTTCTTCTCTTATTTCTGCTGCAGGATGAGAGAAAAAAATCATCAAACATAGTTAATGGTAGAGGAACACTAAGAAACTGAAAAACAATTATGCAGGCAGTTGTGTATTTCAGTAAATGCATAGATGGAATCGCAGATCTTATAAATATGTACTTCTATAGCATTCATCATTACAGCCTTCAGTGTATCTTCAAAACACCTCTTAGAGGAAAGTGCTACTTTCCCTCATGCATAGACAGTTTAAGGCTTATATTCCTGTAATAAACTATTAGATACCATTAGGAGTCCAGACTAAGTTAGGCACTCCTACTCCTCCTAGAGACATTGGAAAGAAACAAGAATCTCCAGGGGATTCCAGTGGCTTTTGGTCTTGATCTTTCTTCATTGACTAAAAAGGATGACACTATGGATAGTTCTAGATGCTAAAGGTATCTGGAAAGTATGCAAGGCTAAGCAACTCGTTTGACACAAAAGCAAGAGCCTATGCCAGGCCAATTAATTAAATTCAGGTCTTTCAACACATAGGCATTATACTAATCACTGAAATGATGTTCTTCTCTTAAATTTACAGGGTGACAAATTAAGCCATAGCTAAAATGAAGAATAGAACTTTCCAAAGGTGACAGAGGGGTTTAACTTGTCAAAACTTATGGGAGATGCAAGGAAGGAAGATCACTGAGGACTCTTCATTACAAGGGACTGCCCTGAACAGAGAGACTAAAGGCAAATCTCTGTTTGCTTCTGTTCTGGCAAGGTGGTGCAGAGTGTAGCAAGACTTGGAATCTGCTTCTGTACAGGCACTCAGAACATAGGTATACCAGAAACAACAGCTTTGTTTTTTGTCTTTGCTCACTTCTCCCATTTCTTCCTCTTATTTAGACTGGTACAAATCCACTGATATCATTAAATTTATTTAGCGTTAAACCAGGGTGAGAGACAGAGAATCAAAAATCAAGAATGGGTCCAGCGAAATGCAATGGTGGCTTAGACAGATTAACTAAGATAAGAGATTCAACACTAAAGTCTTTTACTGAAACACCAACTGTGTGCTTAGGAATGGAGTTTCAGATATCCAGAGTTACATCACAAAGCAAGCAGACCTCTTTCAGAATGTACTAACCAGGGACAAATGACTGATTTCAAATCATGATGGAACAGAAAAGCACTTTGCTCTTAGATATGCCTCACCGGGTTACATGAGGATAAAAAAAAGTCTTAACATAGAAAATGGTGAATCCAGTGGAATAAAACAACAAAAGATGAATAAAAGAACAAACTCACCTGTGTTTCCTTCCCCTTTCATTGCCCTCATTAGCTCATTAGCTCTTTCCTGACAATGGAGTGATTCTAGCAGGTACAATACGTAGTCATCGAACATCAAGTGAATAAGGTGAAAAGACCCTGGTAATAAAGTGAACAAACAAAAAAGCCATTGACTATCTCAATACACTCATTAAACCAGTGATTACTGTATTCAACACAAACAGCACTGAGTAGGACTGCCTCCATATACTACTGCCACTGAAGGCTCTCTCTTACTCAAGGTAAGAGAGGTAAACACAAAACTGGGGACTAGCAAACTCTGTACACTCCTGGATTTTTACAAGCTTATACGATCAATTATTGGGTGCGAGGAGGCTGCCTAGCTGGAAGCTGGGACTTGATGGAGTTTTCATTGGGGTTGGACTAGATGATGGGGGGTTGGACTAGATGATCTTTCAAGGTCCTTTCCGACTCCTAATATTCTGTGATTCTGTGATTCTTCCCCTACATTAGCAACAATTGAATAATTTGGATAATTACACAACAGTGGAATGGTTTCTTTTAATCTAAAGGATCAGGTAAAAGTTTCTGTCAGAAGTAGAATCCTGAATTGGCTGCCTTAGTGGCATGTCTTGGTATTAATTTGCTGAACTACCTGTGTCACAGGACAAAGAAATGAAAGACTAATCAATAGGAAGGTAGAAACACTCTTCCAAATCTCCTGATGGTGTATCTCCAGAGCATTGCCTGGACTGGACGAGACATCCATTAACTGCCAAATATAGAGGCATTAGCAGTGATTGTGGATGTCTTAAAGGGAAAGGCTTGTGCCAAAGGTTTGCTCTGACATACTTCTACTACATTGCCTTTTCCTAATTACCAGTTTGAATCTTATCAGCAGCATAACATTTGATCTGTTTCTCTGTTTACCTCTGAAGATTCTATGGATATTATCTCTTAACTGCCATGACAGGAATATGAAAAACTTAAGAGCTAAAGGACTAAAGAACTTAAGGGAAGAGTATGGGGGATGGAGTCAAAAAACACTTTGAAAATTAATCGCAAAAAAAGGCCATATGGATAGCTATCCACCACAAATCCTCAAGTAAATGCAGAGTGAGAAATCGCTAATGTTGTCAGGAGGAAGCACTGGATGATGCTATAGATGAAAGTAACTGAAATGAAATTTAATAGCATGCTGTAAGAAGTTCTGCCATTAGAGATTTAAATTGTCCTCTGATTTATATACTTCATCTGTAGGAAAAGAAAGATTAATACTATTGCATAAGGCACTGGTGAAACCTCACTTAGAATATTGCATACCACTCTAGTCACCCATGTTCAAGAAATAGTACAAGTTGAAACTGGTATGGAGAAGATTACCAGGAGGACGTGGGGAATGAATAGCAGATTTTAAATGACTGAAATTGCACGTCTGGCTTCATTTTGCAGAAAGGAAGTGAGATGCTTCCCATAATTTATGAAGGATCCATGTCAGGGATGGTGAAAAGTTTGCCCTAGAGCACACATAGCCACAAAAATAGATGTCTAAGAAGAGACCATAGATGCATTTCAGGGAAAAATTAGATGAGCAAAGCATCAGAGCTGAGACATTGTGTAGCATCCTCCTGAAAGGAATAACATTCATCTGCAGGAGAAGACTGACAAGTATCAAGAGTTTGGTCAGTTTATGCAATAGAGTCCATGACACAGTGTATCTGTAATAGTTCCAGACAGGATTTGATCATACTTTTTTTTTTTTTAAAGCTCCTATGTTTATTTAGACTTGCATGGAATATTTGAAACATATTCATCTAAGTCATTAAATATGTCTGGCAAGCGAAATGCAGTCAGGTTAAAATAATAGCTAGTCCAGCAGCTGGCTTAAACCAGAGAAAGATCACCAGCTGAGAGGGAAACAGAGATCAACTACTGCCAAACAAACAACAAAAAAAGGCCTCATCTAGATGTGTTCTTTTCAAAATTCTGTTACTACATTTTGAGGAAAAATAATTCCATTGGAAAAATACGCAATGAATTTCAAATTCGATCAAATTTCATAATGATTAGTTTCTTCACAGGAAAGTTAAGTTTGTCTTGGGATACTAGCTTTTACCACAGCAAAACATAACTACCCCTACTCCAACTTCTCTGCTCAAACATACTGTTGAAGGGCAGAAGAAGTGGTTTGAAAGCCCTTATATCCTTATACAATTCTGGCTGGCAATTCAGCTTTCAAAGCAACTCTGAGCACATTCTTTTTCTTTGTGACCTGGATAGTCTTTGTGTTTCATTCTCTCACTCCACGCCTGCATGGCTTCTGTCATCACCGATACGAGCTGAGCACACATAGTGAGAGGTGAACACACGCCTTTGTGTTCCTGGGCAAGGCAGCACAGAAAAAGGACATATGTGATTGCAACACCTTCACTATGGGGAGGAAATCTTGGGCTACCGGTGAACCTGAACCATTCACCTATCTAAGCAAAGCAAAATGGTAACAGGTTTCCTCAGCCTTGCAAGGGTGAACAGTGGAGAACTTGACTTAACTACAGCAGAGATTCTGTTTTAGAAATCTTCTGGGCTACAAGTCTTGGTAAATAAAATCCTATTCAATTTAGCAGTACGATAAAGACAGCAGATCTGGCTGATCACCTTGTTACTGACCTAGGATTTCACCAGTGGAAACTTAGGTCATCAAGAATCTCCACAAAATGCTTGCTCTTCTTTTGACTGCAGTTTTCCAGTTGGGAAGTTTCTATTGACTTTAGTGCAGTTACTACTGATAAATAGTTCCAAGGTAAGAAAATGAGGCCTAGATGGTGGCAAACTTCAAGTGGTGGTATAAAGCTCAGGGTATTTAGTGTTTCCCATCAAAATCCTTGCCCAGCTTTAATTAAAAACAAACAAACAAACAAACGAATAAGGAAAGTTGCTTGTAGTTTCATAAAAATATTTGGAAGTGTGAACCCTGAACACTAAAACGCTAGCAAGCAAACAAGAACACAGGATTTGCTATTTTTAAAAAATGTCTTTGTTTTTGGGGGGTCTAATGCTTTATTTTGCAGACTTGAGGTTGGCAATACTGAATGCAGCATTTAAAAACACTCCAGTGCCCTTGTCACTCTTTTGAATTCTCTCTTCCTCTCCTATTATTTTTCCCACTGTGTATTTTTAAACTCTGTATAGAGTTTTTGAGCCCAGAATTTGCGTGAAAGACACTAGACAAACAAGTTGTTGGTACCGAATGAATGCAATATTTTTACATTTTTAAATGAGTTGAATGAAATGTAAACTATAGAGTGAAACCAATAACAGGGCATGCATTTCAGCTACACAGTGAATAGCTATTCAGCACGATGTACAATAATTTATTCTGTGTTTGCAAACTACTGTTTTTCATATGAAACTGTTTGGTTCTTTCAAGCATATCTTTAAGTACTAAAAAGGATCCAGCTGGTGCTAGTAAATCATATAACTCTTAAGGAAGAGGTAAGAAGTCATTCAAGAGACTGTAGTTACAGTAATAACTAGTATTTGGCTCTAATTTTCATGAGTTACCAGAAATCATGGCAATGATTACCCAGTTAATGTACAGTAAATATCAGCAGCCATTAACAGATAGAGCAATTATGTGTAAGTAGCAAAACAGCAGTGAGATTTCCAGAGCTGGAGAAAATCATGGAGCTTCTATTACTAATTAGTTACTTTATACACTGGATGCATTACCCAAACACTGCCACCAACTGTGCCTTTGATATGCATAGACAGGAAGGAGGGAGGGAGGCAGGCAAAGAGAAACAGGGAGAGGGAGGGAGAGAGGAGCTTTTTTCTCTGCCAGGGATTGTTTCAATCTGCCCATGCCTCCATGCTTAAAAGCTTTGCAGAATCAAATCTCTGGGCTAGCCAGTCCAGTTTCAGGTAATCCAACTCCATCCAGATTTCTATATCATATATTAAGAAAAAATAAAAATATTCAAAAAATACATAGTAAAGATCCCATCCTTTAACACATTATTTTACTTTTAAGAAAAAATTACACTATGAGCATCTGAGTCTATCTATTTCTTGAAGTGGAAAAAATCGTTAAAAATCAGTCCACTGAAACAGTTTCCAATGCAGTAAAAATACAAAACTTTTAATCTAAGTTAAGAACAAAAGTATGTAGATATAAACATTTAGATTAGTAAAAGGGTCTATGTTTCTCTCCACAGAACTCACTTGAATGCATATGTTATTCTGAAAAGCTAGGAGGAACTGTGATAAATTAAACACAGAAGAGTTTCTGCTGTCTAGCTCTGAGCTGTTTACATTCATGGGTTATTCTTTTAGAACTTGCTCAACTCTTATTCATGAACAATGTGTCAAAAGGCCTTGCAGAGAAAAAGTAGCATAATTAACACAAATTATTAGGAATTTGTGCCTGTGGCTAAATAACATTTGGGACATTTTGGGGGAAACAAGCTAGGAATAGCCCAGGCTTCTGTCTGATAGCGTAAGGGTATGGTTTTGGTATCACTCTCCCCCTTGAGAACCTGAAGGCTCACATCTCCTTCTGCCTCCATTGGAGTTGCACCTGAGCAGGGAAAACTCCATCCTGTATAAATCAGGGTTAGAACAGGGACTGAACCAACACTTGTCACCTGGCAGGCTGCAAACCTCTGCATCTCAACAAATGGCTGTGTGGTTTGTACAAAGTGAAACAGTTTAAACAGAAAAGATGAGAAGACTTTCCCACAGGCCAAATCCTCTAGCCCTTTGGTAAGAGATCTTGTGCTGGCAGTGATTAACAGTGCTTCAAGACTCTGCTGAAACAGGCAACTGAGGCACTTTAGTGTCAGCATTTCAAGACCTGTGACTGTAATCTCAACACTCCAATAATGCAGGATAGTTTTTCTTTTATTGGGTACCAGTGAGTTTCACAGGTTGGTATCATGTCTGCAGAGAGAAGCGTAGCAACCCGAAGTGCTAGAAAACAAAATTCAGCATTTTTTCAACACTCATGTGAGGGGACTTTTGAACACTGGGAGGGAAGTATAATGTTATGCAGTATCAGCTACTTTTATGCCCACAGCAAAAGAAAAGCTGCAGTCACTCAAGGGGAAAATGAGTCCTAGAAGAGGTGGAAAATAGATGTGACCAGGTTACTGGCGCTGAAAACACAAGGTAACAGATGGAAATCATGATCATCTTGGGGATGCTCCCTGTCCTGATGTCTAATGGTGACTCAGTAATATCTGTTTGGAAAACTCATTAAAATGGGAAGCCAATGAAAGTAGTTTCAGATTAAAATATAAATACAGATCATATTGTGTCTATCTGATGGTTTTTGAATCTATGCTATTAGATGTTTCTAAAAGCATAAAGGACGTCAAAGCTCAGCTGGCAGAAAACTTTGCAGTTGTTTAATGCAGTGCCTTCATAAATAAATTATTACTCTTTTACTAACATTTTCTGACCAATGTGCATTAATAAAAACTAAGCTCTCATGCCAAACCTGGTCCCAAGTGACTGCGAATGTTCACACTCATGACACAGCAGTCTGTTTTCAGTAATTTCTGCTTTTGATTGATTTTAATCTGAGCTGTTTGTATCCCAGGATTGAAAACAGTGCCTTTTTTGACACTGCATAGAAAAGCAACATACTTTTTCATTTAAAAAGTAAAAAGTCAAAGTCTATTTTTCTACCCTGATTGAATTCTAATAGAATGAAAGATAATCTGTCCAGGGTATAGAAACATAGTAATTTTGCAAAGACTAGTTTAAAATGCTATGTCCTTTGCCAGAGCTGGCAAAGTGGTTGACTGGAGAGCTTCTCATTCACTTCAGCGTAAAGTCATCTCTCTTAGCATAACATGCAGACAGAGTGATCTGGGTACTCAGTCTCACTTTGCACTGAAGTGCATCAGGGACTGCTCCTGCAATCAGCATCTTCAGTTGACACATGACCGGTAACTCCAGCTACTGGCTAACAGCAAACAGAAGGAAGTGGCAAAGATTTCATCTCCCCTGGCTATGTCTTGCAGACAGACATCTGTCAGTAGCCCCAACTCTTTTTTTAATAGAGCCCTGGACGTGTGAAAACTAGTTTCACTGGTTTAACTTAAACTGTATACTACAAGCCAGGATATAGATTTTTTTGGTGGTGGTATGCAATTATTATAACAAAATGAAAGTACCAAAGCTAGGTGCACTGTGCAAAGTCATGTCCCGAATCACTCGAGTGCCAAAACAGGACCACATCAGGAGGAACTGCTGAGCTACTTTCTTCAAAGAGCCTTGTCTCTTGGCAGCTACCTGCAAGAAAACAGATATATCTGACATGGAGGAACTTTTATTTCTACAGCCCAATACAGCTGATTGATGCACAAATACATCTTCTTTTTTTTGTACTGAAAGACTACTTACCATTTTCTTCACATTAAAATATACACTAGAATTTTTTTTAAAAACAACTTTACACAGAAAACCACCTTGTAGCTTATAAACAACCTTAGAAAGAAGAAATAATGAAGTATTATTATTCAACACCAAGACTGTATTTCCTTTATAAATGATGAAAGTACTACCAAAAAATTGCTCTGATCTTCATCTTAACCTAATTATTTAAATGTTCATTCTTGCTTTCTAGTCAAGGAAGCAATTTATAATCAAGAATGATTAATCTACTCTGGTTTTTTTTTTCAATTAATTTGAAGTTTACTATTGAATATATTTTTTTTTTGTTCCTTCATGTTTTTATTTTAGTGAATTCACGTAATCATTTTACTAGCAAAAATACTTTCCAGTAAGCACACTTTAGGCATCAACTCTTCAAAAAATGTGTTTACTATAGCCATATGTAAGTTTAAAAATTAGGTTCATCCAACAAGCTAATAAAATTCACGTCAAGTTCTTCATGAAAATTAACAGTTACAGTCTGTATTTCAAACTGCATTTCACTGAATGAAAGAAAAGTTTCCCAAAGCAACCAACACATTTTAAGTAATCTGGGGAAGTATCTCTTGTTTTCTGTATGGATCTTTTGCAGCACAGAGGCAGGCAACATTTTTTTTGTTGGTGGGGATTTTTGGGGGGTTTTTGGTTTGTGTTTTTTTGTTTTACTTCTTAGCTCTAACAACTGAAATGCAAAGTTGAAATTCTAATAGAACATCCTAATACAAAGTATAGTTAATGACTGAAGTTAAAATAATTAGTCATATGGTTTCACACTCTGTGTAAAATTATGGTGATGCCTGATCAATTTTGAAAATATTTTTTTAAGATTTTTTAGTAGGTTTCTGCACACACTTCAATTAAAATAAAATGCAAGTCCTTGGTATCTCAAATCAGTTCAAAAGGCAACATAAATTTGTCCTTGACTGAATGGTAGACTTTCATCCTTACATTTGAATGTATGTAAATGAATTAACTAGCCTAAATATCCTTTTCATTAAGATCTTAAAAGACCAGACTCTATTATGCTTTTATTAGCACTATGTAGTTAGGATGACTCTGAACTCATCTCTCCATTACTCTGAAATATTGATTTGATTGGAAGCCTCAACCCTGTTGCATTCTTGAATATCATCTTTTGGGATACAATAGACAAGAGCAGAATAAAGTAGAATCCTGAATGTAAGCAGTTCTGATACTGAGTGTGAAAACTGATGAGATTTTGTCCATTGCAACTTTACTCCTGCTTATTACCAATGCCTGGCTTTTTTTTTCCCTCTTTCTATTTTTGCTAAAAATTTATGACTTGAATAGACCTTATAATGCACATCAGTGACTCAGGTCCTTACTCTACAACCTTTATAATCTTACTCTACCATCCTTTACAACCTTACTTTACCAACCTTTACAACGCATCTGTCCACCATGGAATCCAGCCACTCGATGTACGACTCAATGGGGGACTGCTCCTCCAGAAGGTGGTCAAACTCCTGATACACTGGCAGACAAAGAAAAAACAGCCCACCTCAGTACTTGGATTCCATTTCAAACAAAGATAAACAAATCACAAAAAAGCTGCCAATAACATCACATCATTGGCCTCATGAGGTGAACGAATCCCCTTCAATGGCAAATTATATGTCAGCTGTTGAATTAACTTAGGTTAAAAAACACAAGTTTGTTGTGGTTTTTATAATAGATTGCTCAGCTATAATAAATATATTTTCCTTGGTGCTGACCCAGTAAGTTTGCTTGATCTCTTATCTTGTTTCTACTTAAAGTGATGGAATCACTGGGAGTGGTATTTTTATGTGAGCAAACACAGGACCTATTGTTTAAAATTAATCTTTTGAATTAAGATTCAGCTGTCTGGTATGCCGAGACGTGAAACATTTATGCTGTGCTCTTCGAAGAGTGTGAAGCTAGGCCTTGACTCTAGTGATGGTAAAAGGTCATGCATGATATTGATTTAGAAATGCATAAAGAATCTTCTAAGCACCAAGTGGATGAGTGTCATTGATAGGGGTCTCATCTGTATAACGCTTTATTTGCAAAAACATGATTTAACTACTGCAAATAATCTATTTGCAATGCCAGACACACACACAAAGAATTTCCATAAACTTCTCGTCCTTCAAAACAAGTTGCTACCAATGCACAAAAGCTACACTGAATTTATCAAAAAGAGTTTCCAAAAGTAACCTGAATACTTTTTAACCTCTCCAAAGGACACATGTTCATATTTTAATATAGAAAGTAAAAACAATCAAGTCATTCAACTGCAGCTCTTAAAACTGCAAGTCTGTGGTTTATTTGTGAGATTCAATAACTGGAAGACAAATAATCATGCTCCTTGATATTAAGGAACTCTTCTTCAATTCAGCTAAAATAAAAGGCCCAGTAAGTCAAGAAGAAAGATACTGTCTACCAGGATGTCAGTGTGCTATGCATTTCCATTTATGCTTAATGATAAATAACAGGAGGAAGGAATTTCCCACTATAAGAAAGACTATAAGAGGGAGGTAGGCAAAGCTTAGAGATGAGAGCTAGAGAAGTGAGCCAGAGATGCTATAAGGGAAGCTATAAGCTCCCTCGTCTCTAAGTTGGATCAGCAAGATGAGCAGGAAT